TTTTGAGGCTGAGCCTCTGGTGTTTAAAACCCAGCGAGATGCACCTGGTGCATAGGTAACAGCCCAGTTTATAGACTGAGACAGACTATGAAGAAGGAAGAGGCCATCCACTTCTGAAAGAATTGGCCAGGGAAAACCTTATGAATAGCAAAGAAACACTGTTTAGGCAGAATTAGAGGGTTCGTAAACTTGGATGAGCAAAATTTTTATCTTTGTTGAAAACAAAGATAACCTCTAAGTGAAATTTAGCATTTCCTTCAGTTATGAATGTAGCAACTAACCATGAAGTCTTAGCAATCTCTGTCACTTGTTTACCAATAGTGTGATTTCCCAATTTACAATTGTGATTTATAGATACTTTCATATTCCATTACAGTTGTTACAGATCCTTCAAATTTCATTTATGCTCATCATTCCTCAAGATAAACAGTATTCATTAGACCCAGCTTGTTGTTGTTAGTTGCATGTTGTTAGTTGCCTGTCAGAGTTGGCTCTGAATCATTATAACCCTTATGAATAACAGAATGAAATGGTGCCTAGAACTGTGCCATCTCCATCACCTTTGAAATATGTGGGCCCACTGTTGTGGTTATTGTGTCAATCCATCTCACTAAGAGTTTCCTCCATTTTTGCTGGCCCTCTACTTTACTAAACATGACAGCTTTTTCTAGGAATTGCTCTTGCCTGATAATGTGTCCAAAGGAAACAAGACAAAGTCTCACCATCCTCACTTCTAAGAAGCATTAAGATTTTAGACCCACTGCCAGATCACATCTGTCTGGGAAGAAGTGCAGTCAGAATACTCCTTAGAAGCAAGAATGACCAGACTTCACCTCTCCTGCTTTGGTCATGTTGTCAGAAGGGGCCATTCCCTGGAGTAGGATATCATGCTTGATAAAGTAGTGGGTCAACAAAAAAGGAGAAGACACTCAGTGACATGGATTGACACAGTGGCTGCAACAATGGGCTCAAACCTAGCAAGGCTTGTGAGGATAGTGCACAATCAACCGGGCAGTGTTTCATTCTGTCATCCATAGGGTCTCTATGAGTCAGAGCTGACTCAACAGCACCTAATAACAATAACAATTAAATAACACATATATTAACACAGGGAGCTCTGGTAGCATAGTGGCTAAAAGCACTTGACTGCTAACCAGAAGGCTGGCGGTTCAAACCCACCAGCCACTCCTCGGAAGGAAGGTTGGGCAATCCTACTTCCGTAGTGATACTGCCTCAGAAACCCAAGGAGGGGTCGCTATGAGTCGGGGCCGACTTGACGGCAAACAACAACAACAACAAATATTAACACATCACATATTTAAATGCCTTAGTAATAATTTAAATATAATTGGCATCCATTTTAATTTCATGTATTGATTTTATGAATTTTAAAACATTATTCTGAGGAGGGATCTATAAGCTTCACCCGACTGCCAAAGGCGTACAAAGGGTTAAGATTCCCTTCCATGCACCAGGATAAAAATCCCACTAGAGCAGAGATTGGTGTCTGTTTTTGTCACAGCTGCAATAATGAAGAGGAGAAGAGTTGATGCTTCTGAGTTGTGATATTGGCGAAAAATACGGAAAGTACTATGGACTGCCAGAAGAATGAACAAATCTGTCCTGGAAGAAGTATAGCCGAAATGCACCTTGGAAGTGAGAATGGCCAGACTTTGTCGCACCTACTTTGGTCATGTTGTCAGAAGGGATTATTCCCTGGAGAAGGATATCATGCTTGGTAAAGTGGAGGATGAGGATCAAAGAAAAAGGGGAAGGCCCTCAACAAGATGGATTGACACAGTGGCTGCAACGATGGGCTCAGGTATGGCAAGGATTGTGAGGCTGGCACAAGACTGGGCAGTGTTTTGTTTTGTTGTACAGAGGGTGACTATGAGTCAGAGCCAACTCAATGGCACCTAACAACAACAACAACATCCTTATACAGTAGAAGAGAGTGTGGCCATAGGATCACTCAGTAAATATTTATTGAATAAATTTTAAAGAAGTTAGTGACTTACCCAGTGTCACATAGCTCATCAATAGTAAGCTGAAGACAGGTCTGTCCAACAGCAATGCTTTGCTGTTTCTAAGTCTGTACCCTGCCCATTGGGAACTACCAGAAATGGAGTGTTCTCAATAAAAATGGTGGAAAAGAGGGGAGTCTTTTCAGTGAAATAGCTTGAAGGATCTTTAAATCCATCACCTCTCCCTTGTGTTCTCTGAGTTCAACAATCTGGCACTCTCTTTTGGAAGTTAGATGGCTGTTTATAGAGTGGCTTTATTACCACTTTTGGAGTTTCCAACTGGATGTTGGGATTCATCACAGCCCCAGTAGAGAGAAGCATATAGACAAAGCATGGATTCCCTACTCTGTGGTTTTGATTTTCTCTTGGGGAACCCAAACATAAGCGGAAGTAGGGTGAGGACCTCCCAGGATACACTTGCTTGAATTTAGGGCAAAGATCCTGGTGGCTAGCTAGATAATCCTCTCTCTACTCTCATGTTCCCTCCAGCCCCTGTCTCACAAGGGAGGAGGGAGCTACAGTGCTGAGAAGAGCCCAGGTGGGAGGCTCTGTCCAAGGAAGATGGGAAGCTTTTCTCATAATGTACTCTTTGGGAGAGACAGACAGACACTATCTGTATCCTAGCCCCATGTGCTACAGGCCCCATGGCAGCAAGAACACTGCCTAGGATTCTGTTGACCACTCTAGTCTTGATCTTCTGTTAAGATTCCCTAGAACTTCAAAGGTTCACAGTTACTAAATATGGAAGGTTCCCAGCCTCATCTTGAACATATAACTTTCATCACAACCTTATGAATCAAATAAAGCAAATATTACTATGCTCATCATCTTAAACACAAAAAGGCTGAAGCCCAGAGAGTCTTTATGGCTTACCCACATAAACTGGTTCTCCTGGCCTGTCATCTGCAATCCCAATATCCAAGGAAAAGGCTGGGAAGACTGAGAACTTACCAGGCAGGCCACAAGCACGGCATCACTGCTGTTCCTCTCTGACGGTGACCGGCAGAGCTCAATGAGGCGGGACATACCTGCGTGGGACACAGGAAGAACCTTATACTGGGAACTGGGAGCACCTAGGCAGGCCTGACCCAGAGGAGCTCACCCTGTGTCACGCATCAGGGTCTGCACAGGGCCCTGTGGAGGCAGGTGGCTCACAGGGTCCCTGGTCAGCCTGTCAATCTACCAGGGAAGTGGGCTAAACTCCTAGAGGAGTTAATGGAAATTTTTTATTCCCTCAGCTCTGAATGGACTCTGGTTGGGACCACAGTGAGTTGAAGCATCAAAAGCAAACTCACAAGCACCAGAACACTTAACAAGATTGAACTTAGTTAAACCTGCTGCAGAAGATACTGTGAGTCTCTGTGCAAAATAATTTCCTGTAAGGTACTTCTGTTTTACCAGAGCTATATTTAGCATTTGCATCTTTATCAGTGGAGCTTTCCAGCTATACTATACTATGTATAATACACTATGCTATACATTTTTTTTTCCCAATTGCCTATTTCAGTCAGAAAATATATTGTGGCTAAAATTATGGAAAACTATAGACTGCAGTAAGTTAAGGCTCCCTAAAGTAGCATAGCGCCTAAGGCACTTGACTGCTAACCAGAAGGCTGGCAGTTCAAACCCACCAGCCACTTCTCAGAAGGAAGGTTGGGCAATCTATTTCCGTAGTGATACTGCCTCAGCAACCCAAGGAGGGGTCACTATGAGTCGGGTCCAACTCGACGGCACATAACAACAACAAAACAACAAGGCTTTACAGAGGAAAGTTAAAAAAATGACTTTGCTTTTCAATGCAAAATGACTTTTTCAAATTCTTAAAAAATTTATTATGAAATAGTAGTAAAAGATGTGTAGACAGGGAAATTCTTACTCCCAGATGTTTGTCAAAGAATATAGACAAATTCTGATTCTGTTTATCTCAGGCTTCAAGATCAACATCTATGATAAGCATACAGAGGGCTAAGGGGTGTATTCCCAGGAAGTACCATGTCTTTGGTCAATGATAAGACTCAAACTTGTCTTGAGGAGAGAGGATTACATAAAAATCATCTTCATAGGATGGCGGACTAGGCACAAGGACTGCACAGACGCTTTTCAACAAAGAAAAGGGAAATCAATTAACACAGACACAGAAGATAATCTTGGACCCCTGAGCCTTAAAGGGAAGGATACAAAAGTGGACTAAACCCCAACTAGCAGAAGAATTTGC